GAGCTTATAACTGCCAACTCTGCCGTATATTAGCAACGTTATATATTTGTTGATCACTTCACTCACCTGGACAGTAATGTGAGCAAAGGGGACTACATTTAGTAAAGGTATCAAATCAAGAACAATCAAAGTCAGGAATGCCTTTATAAATCTGTATCCAATTTGGAAATCCAGCCAATACAGTCAGAAACTTAAACTCAAGCTCTACAATAGCAATGGACACTTTGTCCTTTTCTATGCATCCGAATGTTGGCGTGTAACAAAATCCAACATGACCAATCTTTTCACAATGGTAACAAATTTGCAAAATATTTTGGCCAGTGGTCATCTCCAATGATGAAATAAAGGGACGAAAACTGAGATGGTAGGGTCATGTTCTCGGAATGCCACTCAATCCCCAAAACAGCACTTCGCTGGACGCCACAGGGTAAACGAAACAGAAGGACGCCAAAAACCACCTGGGGAAGAACTATTGCCACAGAACTTGCCTAAGCAAACCTGGTCTGGAGTGGAGCAGAGATGGTGGCAACGGATAAACAGGAATGGAGGAACCTGGTTGCAGCCTTATGTCCCGATGTGGGATGAAGAGGACCAAATATATTTGTCAGCCAATCAACGTCATGGTCATTTATTGTTTGTAAAATTAGCTTATTCATATTAACAGCTTGATATATCTGTAAGCCAATCAACTTCATGGTCACCCATCGTCCGTAAAGAGTATGTAACCAGCAGAACTACAGTCCGGAAATCTGGCTGTGAGTACATGAACGTAATGCAATGTGTGTAATGACCGTAACTTAGGGTAAACTAAGGGTTGACAGTTCCAGGGAATGTCAGTCCCAAATAAAAATGTATTCATATATAGACGCTCATCCGCTCACTCTACCATACATACAGTCAATCAATCATTCATTCACTCATTTGCTGTTGTGATTCATTTCTGCTCCGCCTTCTATGCACGAAATTGGTTGCTGATTGGGCGACGCTGAGAAATTACGTTTATTATTACACATCTCATACTTAAAAAGCGGTGGTCGTCGCACCGCGCATGTGCGACATTTGTGTTGATAACCAATGATTTTCCTACAATCCAATGCGCTCTTCTAATTCACAAGTATTAGTTTTGACATGGTCGCGACTTGCACTAATTACCGCCAGTGATTCCTTGAATACCTTCCAATCACCTCAAAAAAAACCTAATTAAACTTAGTGACGTCTCAGTTTGTACACGTTGATCTACACAATAGTCAAAGACGCATGCGTGGCACGACGACCACCGCTCTTTAACCCAGCGGCCTGATGTCAAATCGTACAAAAAATAGGTCATTTTAATATAATTGAATGTCAGTATGATTTATTGCAAGTTTTATATTATTCATTCTTTACTGGCATGTCATATTTCATTTCATCTACGGTCCATTATTATCACATGCCTGAAAAAAAAATGCAACAACGTCCAGATTCATTGCCATAATCGTTCGACAGACCGACTTGTTTTGTCTTCTAAATTTATCTGTCTGTATACAAATAACAGAACGAAAAAATGAATTGTCCTGACAAGTACTGACACGATAAGCGACAGTAAAAATGCAGAAAAGTATATGCATGTTGAAATAAGAAGCTCACACAGACTGAAGTGCAATTTTGATCTTCGTTCTGTTACATTATATCTGGAATTTGTTTTAGAATAAGTTGGTTAGCACTTGAAAATATAACTAGTTGTCAGTGATATCGTTACTCTCATTGGTAATCGCGTTTCAATTAAAGTGAAAAACTGACAAAAGATCTCAAGTTTATTTTAGTGACGTTCAAAATGATTCATTGGGTACTATCATGTTTCTTTGTGTTGTCGGACACGTTTATAGAACGAAGTACACCACTCACGCGACAAAAAAACTCACACTAACTTAACATCCTCCTTAGTATCACCGTCGGTGGAGGCTAGTTGCGAGCTTCCTATCCAGGAAAATAATCTCTCCATTTCTATAGCCGAGCGATTAAACGAATGACTTCACAGAAAGTTCAGAATCGCGAATCGGGGGACGTTACGTACATCCACTTCCATACATATTATATCTACCTAGCTGAATTGGTATGCGTGTATTTACTAACTGGGAGTAGTCGCTTGATCTTTGATCCCAAGTAAATAACATTTCGGTTTAATACCATCATAATTATAGATATGTGTACGGCGGCCGGCTAGACATCGCTGAAAGGTTGACTACATAATATCTGCGGTTTAAAGTCACGTGGTCATACCGAATAAGCGTACATGGATGCCAGGGATAACTGACCAGTTAGATTTGTAAATTTGCAGCAGTCATTACACTTGGACGTTGCGGGTGACACGATGCTGTCATGTGCTCGTATAGTGGGTCATACAAGAACTATCTGTTTTTTCTATTTTGTCCTACTGTAAAAGGATTAATTATTCACTGGGTTTTAATTTTGCTTATTTCGCTGACTGGAAAATGCGCTAAATTAAAACCCAGTGAATATGTGAAATTAAGCATAGAACACATTATCTAAATGATAAAACCATGAATTTAAAACCCACTGAATATGCCTGAAATAGGTAAATCAGTGAAATTTAAACCCAGTGAAAATTAGTCATTTTACAGAATTATTTTTTTACTTTTGTTTAGTTAGTTTTATTATTTTAGTCTTTTGTTATTTACCATACTTAACACTCTGGTGGTTTTGGTTGTGTAATAAAGTTATTATTATTATTATTATTATTA